TCTTCATTTTGTTGTATGTACTTCTGCCTTGATGTCTGCCCATCTCCTTGTGGTTCATTCTTGGTCTTATCAGCGCACTTGGTTCAGACAGAGCTGACAGATTCAGGAAGTCTCTCTCTCTCTTGTCCAGATGGGAGCTCTCTTGTCCAAATGGGAACTCCGGAGCAGGATGGAAACTCTTATCTGGATGGGAAGTCTGGGGCAGGATGGGAGCTTTTGTCCAGACAGGAAGTCTGGGGTAAGATGGGTGCTCTTGTCCAGAAGGAAAGTCCAGGGCAGGATGGGAGCTGGGGGCTGGTCTCTAAGTCCCAGGAAGTGGCTGGCTGGGGTCTCGGGCGGATGGCCATGGGGGCAGGGCGTGGAGATTGCAGGGGCTGCTGGAGAGCTTGGAGAAGGGGATCCTTCCTGATGGGTCTAGAAGGGGACCTGCCCCGTAGCCAGAACCTGGGGCTAAGGTGGGCAGGTCTTCCCCAGAGTGGCTGGTGCCCAGGAATGGGGTCCGGGCTAGGCCCGGATAATCACATCTGTTCCAGAAGGGAAGTCGGGGATAAATATTTGTCTCTTTATGCACAGTTAAGCCTAGGCCCCACTCCTCATCAAGGCAGTTGCCCTTGTAAAAGATGTAAACCATTACACAAACCACAACCAATCAACATGTAGAGTTGTGGAGCCCATTCCCAGTAGACATGTCAACAACATATCTCTTGAACCTAAGGTTCCTAAGAAATCAGTGAAGGAGATGGGGTGGAAGATTTTAAGCATCAAAAGAATAGGAAGTTTGCTGTGAGATTGTGTCTCCTGGAAATATCAAAATCTACACCCATAAAGTCTCACCAATATGACTGCCTAAACATGAGCAGAACAAATACTGTACTAATAGATATATTAAGGATGGTGGGTGTAGGCAAAGGAGGCCTCAATCCTACACAAAGAACTTCAGGCAACTCAATAATGCTGAGATAATGAGGAATAGTCTTCCCTACGGACTAAGTCATCAATTGGTTACCCAATGCCAAATTGTCAGCCCTTTAAATATGCATATACATATGCAAGTACCATTATGTGAAAAAGCAGACTTTATTTATATACTTAGGAATATATATGTATACATATGTGTGTGTAACAACAATTAATGGGAAAGAGTCTTTAAAACTGAAAGAGAACAAGAAGGAGTATATAGGAAAGTTTGGATGAAACAAAGAATGTGGAAATGTTTTAAGTATATTTGAATCTCAGAAACAAGGAAACTTAATAAAAGTGACCAAAATGCGAATATTTATGTCTTACTATTTCATGAGAAATGTCTATAGCAGTGACATAAGGGGAATATATATAAACATACACAAACTGATCACTCTCTTAAAACTGAAAATCACATATGCAACATTTCATAGATGAGTATAATATTGAAATTTATAGCATTTATCTAAGTAGCTGTAATATGCCCTTAGTTGTTTTGTCATTGATCCATCAAGGAGAGCCTGCTTTGATTAGTCTTCCTAGAGCCCCCTTCACATCCTTGTTCCTCAGACTATAGATGAAGGGGTTGAGCATGGGGGTGACCACAGTGTACATCACTGAGGCTACAGTGCTACCATGGGAAGAGTGGGTTACAGCAGAACTGAGGTAAACACCAAGTGTTGTTCCATAGAACAAGCAGACCACACAGAGGTGAGATCCACAGGTGGAAAAGGCTTTAAATTTGCTTGCAATTGAGGACAATTTCAACAAAGAGGAGACAATCTGAAAGTAAGAAAAGAGGATGCCAGCGGCTGGAAACACACCTAGTAAGGCAGTAGCCACATACACAGTGATGTTATTAATGAAAGTATCAGAGCTGGCTACCTTAAGGATCTGAGTTATCTCACAGAAGAAATGAGGTATTTCAGTGACTCTGGAGAAGGTTAACCACTTTATTAGTAGAACATGAACCAGGGAGACTGTTAAAACTATGATCCATGAAATCAGAACTAGGAGGCTGATGAATTGAGAGTTCCTAATGGTTGTGTAATTTAGGGGGTGACAAATGGCCACAAAGCGGTCAAATGCCATTATACTTATAAGGAGGTTATCCATTCCAGCAAAAACCATAAAGAAATATGCCTGAATGAGACACTGTAAATACGAGATGTCTTTGCTCTGTGCCTGAATGTTCACAAGCATCTTTGGGACAGTAGTAGAGGTAAAACAGATGTCCACAAAAGACAGGTTGGAGAGAAAGAAGTACATGGGGGTGTGGAGGTGAGAATCAGAGCTGGCAGCCAGAATGATGAGCAGGTTCCCAAGCACAGTGACCAGATACATGGATAAGAACATTCCAAAGAGGGGGAGCTGCACTTGTGGATCATCAGAGAGTCCAAGCAGGAGGAATTGTAATACTTCTGTGTGGTTTTCTCCTTCCATGCCAGAGGCTTCTTTCCTTTATAAAGAGGCAAAAGTTCAGCAAACATCCAGGTGAACCCCAGGAAGAAATCACTTCATACTTCTACAGATGTTTTTCACTCCTGAGGTTTCCTTCCACTCACCTTTTTCAAGACTTAGTTTATTTAACTATTAAATGCTCATAATAATCTTTTGTTAAATGTAGGAGAAATCTCTTTTGGTTTTTCATTGAGGAACCTTTATGAATTCCTCCTTAGCTTGTGTCCATAAGCTTGTTTAGTTTTTATTATAATTATTGTATAACATTAAAATATATTTCATTAATATTTTTAAAATACCCATACTTCTCCATTTTTAATAGGTCTAAAATAGTAATAAAATATGAATTTATTCTCTATTCCAGTGGTTCTCAATCTTCCCAATGCTATGACCCTTTAACACAGTTCTTTATATTGTGGTGACCTCCAACCATAAAATTACTTAGTTGCTATTCCATAAATATACTTTTGCTACTGACATGGATTTTAATGTACATATCTGATACGCAGACTATCTGATATGGAACCCCCAAGGGGGTCATGAGCCATAGGTTGAGAATTGCTCTCTTTTCAATCTTCAACTCAGAGTTGAAGACTTGTTTAAACTAAATATTGACTATTTTTCTAAATACTTGTTTTAATTTTCATGAGACTTAAATGCTGTTGAATGCATTGGGGTCAATAAATGATATATTTAATTATTGTTTGTGGTATGTATTACTTTTGATAATTATTTTGTGTATGATAGCCCCTAATAACAGAATAGTGATTGTTTTAGAAATTGCATTCTTTACTAAAACTTTTTGAAACCTAATTTTGGTTCTCCCTCTTATCATGTGTGTGATCCTTGAAAAGTTGCTTAAGCTGATTTAGATACAAATACCTGGCCTCTTCATTAGGAGCAGTAAATAGACAGTATACAGTAGAATTGAAAAAAAATTAACAAGGCCATGATGCAGTTATCTACACTTGCTTCTGTGACATACATTTGGTATTCCATATTATGAACTGTTGTTCAGAACTTGGTAGTAATTGTTTTTATGGCCTATAATTTGTCAATATTTTAAAATGTGGAATCTGTCCAATGTGGAATTCTAGTTAACACACAAGCACGCGTGCGCGCACGCGCGCACACACACACACACACACACACACACACACACACACACACACCAGGTTTGTTGTGTCTTTGGCTTATGACAAAATTTCTTTTTTCAATATTTTAATTGCCTTTTTATTAATTAACTAATTAATTATTGTCAGCCAAATTACAGTTTCATTTCTTTCCCTCCTCTCTCCCCAATCCCAAACCCCAACTTCCCCTCTTACCCACATCTACTCCTTTTCCTTTCTTTTCAGAAAAGTGCGGGCCTCCTAATTAGTGAATCTACTTATGAATTCTTTGGTCAGATAATGCCTGATATGCTCTTCCTTGACAAATAAAATATTTGGTCTAAATTTTAAAAACACAAAATAATACTACCACAACAAAAAAAAATCAAATGCATATGTGAGAGTTTGTGTCCAAGCATACATCATCATGAATGGACATGAAATCAGCAGTTAATGAAAAATATGTTTGGTATATTTGATAAACATAATAAAGGCTTCTCATAAAGAAGAATATTTTAAAGTATTAAGGCAAAATGTGATTACTGGAAGTAAATGTTTAGAAATTTCATGATATTAAAATCAACATTAAATGAAATTTAAGTCAGAAAAATATCATTTAATGGTAAGCTATTGTGAGAAAATGGATGAAAAGGTTTCTTCGAGTTAGAAGTATTTTAGCTGAGATGAAATAGTTGGGAGTTACTCATCAGAAGAAGCAGAGAAAAAGAAATGTGTATAGAAAGAACAGAATGGGAATTTGCTGTATATGTGGGTGAGCTGATTTAAGAGGATCTTGAGAAGTCACTGATTTAAAGCAGATAGTGATGGGCAGGAAGGACAGTGTGTTTGGAAATTTCTCTGTTCTTCCTTAATGCCCCTCTCATGTGTTCTGTAGGTCTGAGGGTGTCATAGTTCCCCTCATCATTTTATTTACAAAGACTTATATGGGTTCTGTCACAGGGTAAGGGCCAAACAAATTCAAATGTTGAAGATATATTAAAGATGTTGACCCACACCTATATAGCAAAAGGAAAATTTAAGTCTGTTATACCCTCAAATGAAGACAGAACTGAATAGTGTATTGTTTTGAACAATATGAACAAGTGATACTAATTATGAGAATATAAGACTAATCAACATAAGATGTTGGTAAATATAATTCACTATAGTAGAAAGTGAGAATAAATCATACCTACAATTACAAAAAGAATGTAACTGAGAAAAATTAAAAGCAATTGTGTTTTCTGTTCAGGTTAAATATATCAGTAAGCAAACCAAGGATTATTACCCAATCCAATGCACAGTCAACTGGATATCACAATGCTAGACTGCATTTTGAGCTCATTTACATGTAAATTTAGCCTTGTCCTATTTCAATCATACGATATTGTTGGATTCATTTTAGGAGACTGTCAATATGAAAAGGAACAAATTTCATTGAGTGTTGTGCCTCATAAGTAATTACATTGTTAGTAATGTTACTTAGGGTATAGCACAACCAATTAAAAAATTCCAGTGAAATACTTATATAATATAAGAGAAAATTCAATAAAATCCTAACAAGACAGATAATATCTGGTACATAACAGAATAACTAATGAGTAAATAAGTGGATGCAAGAAATCTGTTGAGAGACTCCAACTCAAGGAAAAGTGTACAAGAATTGGAGACCATGTAGAAAATAATCTCTAGATCCCAAGGAATAAGGAAAGAAGCAGAATCATATGCAAAGACTGGAATCTGTAAAGACTAAAGGTCTTCAAAGTTCTGGTACTTCACCTTCAGAGCCCAAGTGATTCTGGCACATTGTTCTTCTTCTAGAGGGAAAGCCCAGCACTCACTTTTGCTTCCTATTTCTTTAATCCATGTATCTTCAACAGGACACAACGACGTCTATCACATCTTGATGGTGTGTGGTTTGGAATCTCATATGTTTTTTTTTTTGACCCAAGAGTCTGCTTTTGTATAATTATAGGTGAAGAGCAACAGGACTATATTTAAAGTTTCTAGCATCTTAATGGTTGAATTACCAGAGCTCCTCATTAAAAAAACTTGTTCTATTATCTTTCCAGGGTCTAATTACTTTAGCTCCCTTGATACACAAATAAGATTATAAGGAGTAATTTTCAGACACTTTTGTGTCTGTATTTGTATTGACTGGGAAAGTTGAACTTATTTTTTGTAAGTACAAAGTACAAAAAGTATTTAATTTTATCTTAAGTTTTGCAAGGATGTTCTCAGGAAAACAATTTCTATGGAGATTTCAGAGATAACCTCTCTTTGTTATATTTCTTGAACAATCTTTAAAGATTTAGTTAATAATTTATTTTCTACAATGCCATGGATGAAAACAATTCCTTATTCTGTCTGATTTAGAAATTTGCACATAAATTTGTTTTAATAATAAAATTTATTCTTTGACAGTTTTGTGAATGTATTTGATGTGTTCTTACCACACTTATCATACGTTCTTTCTGTATTTTTTGAAATTATAATTACAACATTTTCCCCTTCCCTTTCTTCCCTCCAAAGCCTCCCATATACCCTTTCCACTCTTCAAATTCATGAACACTTTTCCACAATTTATTATTACATGCAATTATGTACATGTATATAAATATATTCCTAAATATAACCATCTCAGTTTGTATAATGTTATTGAATGTTTGTTTCCAAGACTGTCCACTTGGTATTGGAAAACCAATCTGTGTGCTTTTCCCTGGGGAAGGATATTTCTCCCAATTTCAGCATTCCTTTGTAGCCTCTAGTTCTTTGAGTTGATGGCTCTTGGCTTTCCATCATTCACTTTGGCATGTCTATTGCTTATTTTTAATTTAAGAATTTTTTTATTCATTTTACATACCAATCACAGATCCCCTACTTATCCCTCCTCCTACTCCTCTCTAGCCTCCCCGCACCCCTCAGGACCCAACCACCTATCCCTTCCTCCAAAAGGGCAAGGGCTCCCATGGGGAGTCAGCAAAGCCTGGGACATTCAGTTGAGGCAGGGCCAAGCATCTCTCCTCTGCATCTAGGCTGAGTAATGCATCCCACCATAGGTAATGGACTCCAAAAAGCCAGCTCATACACCAAGAATAAACCCTGATCCCACTGCCAGGGGCCCCTCAAACATTCTAAGCTGTAAAACTATCTCCCTTATGTAGGGGCTTAGTCCATTTCCATGCATGTTCCTCAGCTATCAGTCTAAAGTTGAGTTCCTACAAGCTTGGTTCAGTTGTGACGTTAGATTTTCCCATCATGATCTTGGTCCCCTTTGCTCATATAATCCCTCTTCCCTCTCTTTGACTGGACTCCCAGAGCTCAGGCTGGTGTTTTACTGTGGATCTCTGCGCATCTGCTTCTATAAGTTACTGGATGAAAGCTCTATGATGATAGTTAGAGTATTCACCAATCTGATTACTGGGGTAGGCCAGTTCAGGTACCGTCTCCAATATTGATAGTAGTATAGGCTGGGTCATCCTTGTGCATTTCTGGGAATTTCCCTAGCACCAGGTTTTCCCCTAACCTCATAATGTCTCCCTCTATAAAAATATCTCTTTCATTGCTCTTCTACTCCATCTGCCCCCAGCTTGACTATCCTGTTCCCTCATGTCCTCATCCCCCATCCCCTCCCATCTATTGCTCCACTTGCCCCCTGTTTACTTATGGAGAGCTAATCTATTTACCTTTTTCAAGGCAATCCATGTGTCCCTCTCAGGGTCCTTCTTGTTACCTAGCTTCTCTAGAACTCTGGGTTGTAGTGTGGTTACTCTTTGCTTTACATCTAGTACCTACTTGTGAGTGAGTACATACCGGGGTTGTCTTTCTGAGTCTGGGTTACCTCATTCAGGATGATGTTTTATAGTTCCATCCATTTCCCTGCAAATT